GATGGACCCTCTTGGCTTCCAGTTGGTTCCCGTTGCCCCTTGTCCTGTTGCTGGCACCACTGACAAGAGTCTGGCCCCAGCCTCTGGCTCTTTAGCTCTTGATCAGCATTGATCAGATCCCTTCTTGAAGTCTTTTCCAGCTCACCAGCCCCAGAGCTCTCAGCCTGTCCTGGCCCAGAGATGCTCCAGCCCCTCAGCAGCTCCACAGCCTCCCCTGGACTCTCTCCAGCAGCTCCTGGTCTCCTGCTCATGCCCCCCAGGACACCATTGGCCTTCTTGCCCACAGGGGCCCGTTGCTGCTCATGGGCAACTGGTTGTCCCCCAGCACTGCCAGGTCCTTCTCCTCAGAGCTGCTTCCCAGCAGGTCACCCCTCCCCTCTCCTGCTCCAGGGGGTTGTTCCTGCAGGATTTGGGGGATGGATTTGGGGCCTTTTGCTGCTCTTCCTGTCAGGGTTCCTGGCTGGGAGCTGGAACTGGCTCTGGGCACAGGGCTGCTCCTTCTCTCCAGGCTATAAAAAAAGCAGAATCCCTTTTTTTGCCCAGATGAGCTGGTTTTTCCTCACTTGGGAGCAGTGCTGGCTCTGGGGTTTTTCTGCCCTCGAGTCCTTCCCTGTTCCAGGGGAGCAAACTCTTGCTTTCGAGGCGTGGGGGCTGCACTGAACCCCCCACGATGCTTTTTTTTGGGGGTGAAAAGAGCATTTTCAAGCTTCAACACTCCCCCCCAAGCAGAGGGGAGATGGCGAGCACCATTTCCTTGTGAAATGAGGAGAAAAAGGGGCTGTCACCACCTTTAAATCTCATTTTTTGTCATCGGGGAGGGGACTATAAGGAGAAGTGCTTCCTGCACTGGTGGTTTTTGCCTTTTCCCCCCTCACCATCACGTGGCTCGGGGTAGAGGCTGATGCAAAAGGGCTCAAAATGTTTCATTCAACCCCCCTCGGCCTCAGCCCAACCTTTTTAAATGAGGAGAAAAAGGGGCTGTCACCACCTTTAAATCTCATTTTTTGTCATCGGGGAGGGGACTATAAGGAGAAGTGCTTCCTGCACTGGTGGTTTTTGCCTTTTCCCCCCTCACCATCACGTGGCTCGGGGTAGAGGCTGATGCAAAAGGGCTCAAAACGTTTCATTCAACCCCCCTCGGCCTCAGCCCGACCTTTTTTTTCTTGCCCCTCCCTCTTTTGCCAACCACAAAACCCTCTTTTCTTCCGGAGGGTGCACGAAATGCACCCAGAGAGGTGATGAAAGCTCCCGGGGGGGGTGGGGGTTGATCTCACCCTCTCCTCCATGGGCTTCATCTTTTGGTTTTGAGAATAAAAT